GGGAGGAATGTGACACCTTCAAGGTTGACCACACTGGACAATCCTGAAGTGACAAATGCACTGAGTTAGTGCCAAAAGTGTCAGCTAACTCACCCCTAAGAAACTAGTGATGTCTGTGACTAAATCTTTTCCAAAGAAGAAAACTAGTCACTCCCCTCTCTTGCAAATATATCTGTTTTCACAGAACAGACTTACTTCAGAAAAAGCTTTCAAAGGCAATGTCTAGGTCAAGCCAATCAGCAGAGGTCATCTGCCTACTGGGCTGATAGCTCCCATTACACCTTTATGTAAGAAAGGCCAGTGGTCCCATCTTACTCTGCAAAAAACAGAGCAGTCTTAATCTTTCAAGACTAACCTTCTGCCACTACCACAATATAATACCAAGTTTAAAAGCACCTGAATGTCTAACAGGTACTCAAACAAGATGGTACCTGCTCTCATATCCAAAAGACATCATTTTCTCTTTCACAACTAAAATGAGCAGCATCTCAGGGAAAATTACATCTTCACCCTAGGTCTTTTTTTAAAATATTTATTTGGCTGCATGGGGTCTCAGTTGTGGCACACGGGATCTTTAGTTGCGGCATGCGGTACCTAGTTCTCTGACCAGGGATCAAACCTGGGCCCTCTGCATTGGGAGTACAGAGTCTTAACCGCTGGGCCACCAGGGAAGTCCCCACTTAAGTCGTTTTTGAAAAGTGAAAAGGAAGAAGCAAACGGAATGAGAGTGACCAGATGGAAAATGAAGGGAGAGGAGGGGAAGAGAGAATGGGTAAGGGAAAAGGTGGGGGGGAGGGGAGAGGCATAGTGAACTTTATAGGTTTGCTATTTCCAAAATATGTGTTCATTCCACTAAAACAGTGAATGAGGAAAATATTTTCATTTTCTTTTCTGACAACCGGAAGATAAACTGTTGCTGCAATAATAACAGAAATTATTGGTCATTTTGAGCATTCTTGCTAGTAAGAAGCCAAGATTCCAGCCAATATGAAATATTGGCCCCAAGGTGCCCTAGAAATTTTGTTTTTCAAATGCAGGAACGTCAGCTTCTGGACAAAAAGTGATGTATACTGTCTAGTGGGCAGCATGCTGGCCAGACACCAAATTTACAATGTGTCTCCTTGTAACCCTGGGTTCTAGCTCAGCGATCCTTTACAGCCAGTACCACCCCCAGGAATGAGAGTTTTACCCAAAGCAGACCAAGAATGACAGTAGTGTTTGAGTTCTGAGTTTTCACCTCTACATACTTTTCACCTCACTACATTTCAAGAAGCTAGTCTGAATCCAAGGTGAGTTGGAGCTAGGTGGGTCTCTTCTTAAAGAAGTTGATTATTTCTATTCCCTTCTAGTTAAGGTCTATCTGAAGGGAGCTTAGGAAACCCCAGAAATAAAAGTGGTTAAGCTTCACATTTTATAAACTTTTGAATGTTTTCAAATACATAAAATGACATAACCACACTAACTTAATCACTTGCTTATAAAAAAAAAAGCAGCATTATAAATTGAAAAATTTGTAAGGAAAATATTTTGTCCACATGGATTCTTTTAATGTACCTCTTATATCAAATGAAGCCTACAGAGAGCCCTCACATTAAGCCAAAAAGGTACTGGCAAATATCCGAGACTGATTTGCAGGTACCAACCCTGATTGTGAGGCAGTGTTGAGACAGGCTGGGACCTGGGACCCTTTGCTGCAGTGCATGCACCTGGATGAACGTCTCCTGCAGCAACAGAATACAAAGAAACTATAAGGGACTAAAAATAACTGTGTGCATGTGCAGCTGGGGCAAATTATGAACAAGATACAAAAAGACCAAAAACCCAACTGCCACTTATGAGGCGTTCAGAGCAAAAGCAGGGTGCTGTGCATGATCCCTGCACCCAGCATCACCAAGGGAGTGGGCAGACCACCCAAGCCATACCTCCAGTCCAGTCTCCTGGACCCGCCCCTACCCTCACCCCATTTAAGGGACCAGCTCACCCTCCACTCAGGCAGCAAGCAAGGGGAACTGTTCCTTGTTTTCACCCCCCTGTGCTGCAGTGGGCATCCCAATAAACCCTTGCCTGAATTTCTCATCTGGCCTCTTATCAATTTCTATTGATTAAGGAGTCCAAGAACCCTGGTCGGTAACAGTGTTACTAATGCCTGTAGCCCTCACTATGGCAGCACTCACTCTGCCTGGAGGATCATAGTTCTACCCACTGAAAATACATTTTTCCCGAACATCGCTAAGGAATTCTCCATGGAAAAAAGATCCCTGGAACTTTCCCATTATTTTGAGGAATTCCAATAATCCATATGAGGATAATCATAATGGAGAGACATCAGATGAACACAAGAAATTCACAAATCCCAGCTCTTTTCTGTGCATCACACTTTGACAACCATTCACTGTTTTCTCTGCCGCACAAGAATATTCCTAAACCTCATTCATAATCTACCGAGAAAAAATGGAAACAGCACATGCATATCTTTAGTAGGTATAAACCATCAGAATCCTGGGCAGTAAACAAGAGGTGGCTTGCAGGGAGGGGAAGTGGTGAGAACACAGAACCCACTTTAAGAACTGTGTTTCAACAGTGAACTAGAAGTGGAAAATTGGCATGAATCAATAAAACAGCAATTTCTCTAACTATTCTCTTCACTGATACTAAGCAATGCACTGTGAGGCTGAAGCTCTTTCCTAACCTTTGACTGACTTCATGATTAATAAGCATTTGTAACAAGTCGCTTATTCTTTCATGCAGGTTGAGCAGTTGACATATGGAGTCAACCTACTCCTTTCCTTTTTACCCCTCTCCAACTATTCTGCTGTTCTTCACATTAAAATCTGGCCTCTACTGAGAAGATATTAAATGTCAAAGCCCACATAAGATACAAAAAACAGAGGTAAAATGGTCATATAACATCATGTTGTATGTCTGTCTACAGACATGGACCATTTGACTTGGTAACCAGCAAATGCTAACCAAGAACAACTGTGTTTCTTTATACAAATTATCTGGTATTTCTTTATATATTATTATTTATATCACAAACAAAAAGATATATGTTCAGAGAATAAAGGATAGACAGGAAATGCATAAGTAAGCATTATGAGTAAAATTTACTGGTGTCAACTTTTTTCCAACAATGATTTATCAGGGAAATCTTTTCTAGAAATAAATTGTATGTGTCATTACCCTAAACAAAAAGCTAGGAAAAGGAGGGCAAAGAAGTAGCACAAGCAGTTCCAACCTTACCCAACAGAATACAAATGCTTAAAAGAAATGAGGCATTACATTCTCTCCCTGAAGTTATCATAACCTGTTAATTTATAAGTAGCCCTAACGGCAATTTGATGCTAAACAACAATTTATAGAGTGTTTCAAAATTAGCAATATGAAGCTTAGGTACACTAAATAATCCAATAACTATCTATAAAACTCCTAGCCTCATTTTTCACATATTCTCATGATAACTAACTAAATGAGACACAGACTGATGTCATATTAAGTTTATTTCTAATCAAGATTAACTGTTAGGTGTCCAATCAATTCAGCCCCTGATCTTTTAATAGGGAAACAGAGAATATAGTGTTTGACCTAACAAAAATAGCTAACTACTGATAATTTTACAGAAGTCCAACTCTCGACATTGCACAAACCTATAAGGTAGAATTTACAATTCTCACATCTTGCATATTACAATATTCAGTCATACAAAACAATAAAGAATATTATAACTTCTTTAAAAAACACATAACTGCCCCTAAGATAGTTCTTCTCAGAACCACATCTATACAGAATGGGCAAATATCCAGTAATTTCAATCAATGCAGGAAAATAACAGTAATAACTTAGGCTCAAGTGGATTATTTTCTTGATTTATCCAGTTGGGATGCTTTAAGACTAAAATAGGCAATTTTTTTTCCCTGTGGGAAAAAAGTTTTACTGTGCTATCCCAGACCCACAAAAGTGCATTCATAGGTACACAATACACTATGGTCTACAAGGCTAGCATTGACAGGATGTCCATGCATATTCACATCAAAGCAATAACAAGATTTCCTCAAACACATATCATCACCACCTCTTAATCATCCTGGCTCACATAGAAGGAGAGTTTTCATTTAGTATAGGTCAAGGTGGAAAGCTTTTCATCTTTATTCACAACCAGTTCTGATCCTCTAGCAAACTCATCCTAGACTCTTCAATGTGCTCACACTAATCAAAATCTTTAACAATTTCCTTCATTTCGAGGTCTGGTTTCCTTTTTACCATTGCTAGTGTTAACTAAAGAAATCTTGCCCCATAAGCACTACAGATAATATGCTAAAGAAAAATAATCCCAGCATAAAAAGCAACAGAAACAAATGGTACAGAAGTTAAATAAAAAATACTGCTTCCTGAATTTTAGGAAGATTGTTGACTATAACCAGAATGAACTTACCTAAGCAACCACTCTGAAGCATACACAATATTCAAATACACCTTTATTATGGTGGCTTTAAAGCTAAGATTTAACTTAAAAAAAACTGGAATTGTTTAATTAAAATTATTAAACCACCCATACATTCACAGCCACATTCACTCTTGCCCCAGAATTGCAAAGTAGTCTATTTTCATTTCTAAAATGTTACACATTTATATAATCATTATAACCTAAATGCTTAGAAGGAGTATAAGAAAAAGCTTCTAAAATCTATTACAGATGCTATAAAATCATGTATGTAACAAACAAAATATGTGGGATGTCCAAACTTGCTGCTATTGCTGACTGCGGATTAATCTATGTAAGATCACCAGGGAAAGTGTGAGAACACAGTATGAGTAGCCTCATTTACTTCACTGTGTCTCTACACATATGCATTACTTGAGAATGTCAGATCATCCTCAAGTATAATGTGCAGTCACTGGGGATTTGGAGAATCCATAAGGCCACAAAATTGATCTGAGGGAAAAAAAATTCAAGGAAGCCAGAAGTTTCCCTTTTTCCACGAAAGTGAAGAAATCCTTACCTTTCTGTACACCAGCATGTTGGGTGATTCATCTGCCACCCCATTGCTGGTCTGCCCATAATTATTCCCCTGGGCCATGTCACCACACACGTGGTCCACTCTTAGATACAAGAATTATCACTCCTCCCTGCAAGAGTCAGAGAGACATCAGTGAGATCCTAATGGTAGTACTTAAGAAGGTTGACTTTTTTTTTTTTTTTTGCGATACGCGGGCCTCTCACTGTTGTGGCCTCTCCCGTTGAGGGGCACAGGCTCCGGACGCGCAGGCTCAATGGCCATGGCTCATGGACCCAGCCGCTCCGCGGCATGTGGGATCTTCCCGGACTGGGGCACGAACCCGTGTCCCGTACATCGGCAGGCGGACTCTCAACCACTGCGCCACCAGGGAAGCCCTTAAGAAGGTTGACTCTTGATTCATCTCCCCCATCCACAGCACCCATCCCACAATGGAGCATGCTTAAATGCTGGGGCTGGCTTGCAAGAAATAGCACAGAAATAGATTTAAAAAAAAAAAAAAAAAAACTGAATTTACACCTACAGTACTCCCAGGGAATTATAAGTAAGAAATGAATGACAATCTTTTAGTTAAAATAGTCATTTGACTATGGTTTTAATTGACTTGATTTTCTGGGTACTCATTTTTTAAAGTGTTTAAGGCTCACTGAAAAAAAGAAACAACCACCGTTACCATTTCCATCCTATGAGTTCTCTTCTCTCCCAATACTGCATCTCCACAGTATCTTCGGTGTTTTCCCCGAATGGGCAGAAAGGCAACACCCTGTGGCAGCACACTTTCTCCCAGGTGTCTGGCTAGTTTCCCGCATGCAGGCGCATCAGAGAGGCCCATTCCCCGAGCCATTCTCCAGTCATGTGTTTCGTCTTCATTCCCCTAGGTCTCCCGCACAGAGTCAGGGAGCTTCTCCGACTTTCACCTGCCTGCACTGCCGGCCACTGGCTCCTCTCCCCTCGGCCCACTCGGCTTCGGAAGTCACGGCGTAACCCTGCCCAACCTTTGCAAGAAGGCATCAGAAGGTGTCCCGGAAACAAGACCAGGTGGGAGGTCGGCCCTTTAGGCAATTACCTGGGTCACCGTGAGCAGCACCTAACTGCGGAAGCCTCAGAGTGACCAGGCACTGAGGGGAAAACAAGCAAGCCCAGCTCGCCTGCTTGGCTCTCACGGCGGCAGCAAATGGCAGGCGAGCCCAAGCCGCGCGCGGGAGCCGGGCCAGCGGCAGTGTCAGCCCCGAAGACCGGGTCGCGGGGCTCTGGGGCGCCGCCTCCCCCCAACCCCCACCCCCAGCCACGTACCTTCTCCTGAAGGTCGCGGCCCGAGGCGCCTTCTTCCCGGCGGCTGGGTGCGGCGGTGTCAGCGCGCGGCCAGCTTCATCACCTCCGCGCGGGCACAGGGCTCTGACGGCCCGCGCTCCGCCGCTCCCTCCTTCGCTTCGCTTTGCTCCCGGGCTCTCGGACCACGAGCGCGCGCGGGACCGAGACGCCCGGCCCGTGCGCGCGACTGGGGAGGGAGGAGGGGACTGTCACGTGGGACCCGGCGTCCGTAGGTGCTGGCTAGGGGGCGGGGCTCGGCTCCGCGCGGCCTCGCGGCCCCTCCGGCCCCGCCGCCCCACAGTCTCTTCTGTGGGAAGCTGCCGCCCTGCCCCCAGCGCGCGCAGCCCGGGCCCTTGCACACCCGGCCCGGCGGTGTGCGCGCCGCTGAAGGCCTGGCGATGGGAGTGTAAGCCGGAGAACAGGAAGGGCGATGGGTAGGTGGGTGGATGGATGGAGGCATGCAGGAATGGATGGAGCCCCTTGCAGCCGGCAGTTTCGTCACGTGTCTGATGACTTCGCTGACTGTGCGAGCGAAGCAGATGATTGTTCATCGTTATGCTTAAATAACGAGAGTAGAGAGATATTGAGACATCCTAGGAGCGAAGGAAATGTCCAGGATCAAATGAGTCATTCAGCCCGTTTGCCTGCGACTTTCACAGCTTCCTCCTAAGTTAGAGAAACGGGAAATGATCTGGAGGCTGCCAACTCGAGGGGAACATCTTGCCACCTGTTAAAATGAAGGCACATCCCCAATATCTGGTTTCTCTCTCTGACAGATGGTGCTCAGAGGAACTTTCACTCACTTACTCTCAACCTCCAGCAGTTTTCAAAGAAGGTGTGGGGTGCTGATCCCCCATAATTATTCTTCAGGTTGCTGTCACTAATTTTTCTGTAAGGATTAGAGCCACATTAAGAAAAATCACTTGTGTCCCAGTTATAGTAAAAGGAATTTGTGTGTCTGGCTTTCAGGGGCAGGGTTGTGAAGTTATAAATACCTGAAGTTTTCCTTCCACAGCTGGGCCAGGTGTGGTGGAGAGACAGAAAATAATCAAGCCAGCCCCTCCTAACATCCTAGGTAAGAATAGAACTTACCCCTGGTCAGGACAACTGTTCAAAGCAAACCCAGGGGCCATGTGCACCAGTTCATTTCCCCTGTCCCACCCAGGTCCTGTCAGGTTTCACTCAGGGAACAAATATTTATTCAACCTATCCTCTGTTCTAAATACTACAGGGCAAAGATTACTAGCCCAAACTACATTTACACACACCCTAGACTGACCCATCTCCCACTCTTCCCCAATTCCCAAACTGTTTCCATGGTGTGCTCTGGAAATTGTGATCCTTTTCAGCAAAATTGCCATTTTTTCAAATTCTCTATATATGTCCTTAACCTTCTTACCATAGCCAAAAACTACCTCTTCCCCTTCGGCCCCTCTCTCTTCCCCTTCACTCAGTCAACTCCGGGAAGTTGTCATGAACTGGATTAATAAGTTTGGAAAGACTAACTGGGCATATTCACTCAGTTTGAACATTTTTCTCTTAAGGAGGAACTGCCTGAAACAAGCAGTCATTCTCCTTCACATCTCGAGGTAGAGGTTCTGTCCCTATAGGGGACACCCAAGCTCAGCACTGATGGAACATTCCCATCAATCAACAAACTAACAGAATAGAGCTAACATTTCATATTTTATGAACGAGGTGTAAAATATACCCCATCCATCTATCCACCCATCATATAGATATGATATCTATATCTATGTGTAGATTATCTTAGGTAAGATATGTACATAAGATATCTATATGTAGATACAGTTATAGATAACGTGTAAAATCTCCCTTGACACACTTCCCACTTACTCCTGTCCTATTTTTCTGCTTCCTTTTACACCAAAAACTTCCTCACCCGAATTCTGTCTTGAACCCATTCTATTCTGACAATGACTTCCTTGTTACTAAATCAATGGTCAGTTCTCAATTATCATGTGAATCAACTTTTCAGAAGTTAAAGTTGATCCCTCTCACCTTCTCAAAAACTTTCTACATTTGGTTATCAGGACACCGCTGTTATTTCTTTTTTTTTCTTCTAGTTTTATTGAGACATAATGGACATACAGCACTATATAAGTTAAGGGTGTACACCATAATGATTTGACTTACATATATCATAAAATGATTACCACAATAAATTTAGTGAATGAAGATCCACCATCTCATATAGATACAAAAGAAAAGAAAAACATGTGTTTTTTCCTTGTGATGGGAACTCTTAGGATTTCCTCTTAACAACTTTCATAGGTAACATGCCACAGTGTTAATTATATTTAATTATACTTATCATTGTACAGTACATTCCCTAGTACTTATTTAACTTGTGACTGGCAATTTGTACCTTTTGGCTACCTTCATCCAATTCTACCTCCCCCCCACCCCTACTTCTGGTAACCGCAAATCTGATCAGTTTTTCTTTGCGTTTGTTTGTTTTTGAGCTTTAATTGACCTGTGAGGCTATGTTAGTTCCTGTTGCGCAGCATAGTGATTCAATATTTCTGTACATTTCAAAATGATCACCACAGTCAGTCTAGTTACTGTCACCATATGAAGATAGTACATAATTATTGACTATATGCCCCACACTGTACATTTCATACCTGTGACTCATATATTTTGTGTCTGTAAGTATGTACCTCTTAATCTCCCTCACCTATTTCTCTCATCCCCTCACCCCTTTTATTTCTTTTCTACATTTCTGGCTGCTGTTTCTCAGCCTCATTGCTTGTTCCTCTTTATCTTTTTCACTTCTAAATTTTGGTATGCCTCATATCTCAGTCATTGGGCTTCTACTTCTCTCAATTTACGAGCACTCCCTAGGTGAGCTAAATCAGACTCAGACCTTCAAATGCTTCCTAAATACTAATAACTCCCAAATATATACCTTTAATGTAGACCCATGCTCTGCAATCCAGTCTTTCATCTGCTTGCTTAACACCTCTATTTGAATATCTAATTGGTGTCTGATCAGCTTCATGATAACAGGGATAATGTCTGTTTATCTCACTGCTATATAACATCTCAGGCATAGTACAGTTTCTGGCACACAGTAGATGCACATTAGCTAAATGAATAGATGTATCTAATAATAATAATATGATAAGTAATTTTTATATTTAGTAATACATTCTTTACATTATTATCTCATTTAATCCTCACTAAAACCCTGCAGAGGTAGTTATAATTGTCATGTCTTTTACACTGATACACCAGTGGGTAAGGGGAAGATTAGAAAGCTTACATAAACTGTCCAGATACAGCCCACATAACCAATAAGTGGCTGTGCTGGTTGTTACTGTGTCAACTTGGTTAGCCAAAACTACATTTCCCAAGATCCCCTTCCCTGTGTGCACGTGAGCAGAGTTTGCCAAAGGAGGAATTTGTGCAAAATAAGGAAAACAAAGTGAGATAGCACCTATTCCTCTCTGAAGGACTTTGTAGTTTGACACGGTGACGCACACAGAGTCCCAGAGCGTTCTAGCATGTCCTTGCTCTCCCTCACTTCACATTCAGACATTCCTAATTCCCAACCCTTATGAGCAACCACACACATACCAAGAGTCTGAATGTGGACCTAAAGGAGCAGTAGCCATGCAAAGACCATAGCTTTCCGCTGACTTTCTACCAGCTTCCCGTAATGGTCCCCTCCAGCACCCGGCTATGTCTGGCTTCTGAGATATCCCTGTAAGCATCAACTTGCCCACCGACACAAAGGCCTCAGAGGGTCTGGTAGTGACTTTTCTCAGATATTTCAATTGTGTAAACTATTGTTCCTAAAATACACTTCCATTATACTAATAGTGGTTCTACTTCCCTGACTGAGTGGCTGGCAGTGTTCATATCCAAGTCTTCCTGGTGCTTTTCACTATTCTATGAGAAATCCAAGTTAGGGAGCTAAAACCTTGAAACCAATAACTACATGAAAATGCAAAACTGAATGATAGAAAGTATGTGAACTGACTGAAGGGAAGGGGTTGACATTCAAACTGAACTCTTCAAGGACTGATAGGATATCTCCATGTAGAGATGATGACAAAAAGGGTTTTCAGTAAGACACAAAGGCAAGAAATTCTGAAATGCATTAGGAAATTAATAAGACCACCATTTACAGGATTCCTACCATATCTATATTTATATATAGACATAATTTATATCTATATTCGTCCTATACATTTTTTTTAATTCTCACAATTTCTGACAAAATTTACCCCAAAAGCTATGTAAAGAAACTGAGGTTCAAGCTAGGAAACTTGACCATGGTCATATACCTTCTAACTATCAGAGCCATGGAGTCAAACATGCCTCTGTGTGTCTCCAAAGCCCTATGAAAAAAAATGTGCAAAAGTGCCTCTAGCAACAGCATGAGTTTAAAAAAATCCAGGGGTCTCCCACCAAGATGCCTTTCATTCTATTGTCTGTCTCATCTCTCATCCCACTGTCATCCCTCCACATACCTAACTTACACCTTTCTCTCTGTGCATTTATGACTCAAGAATGCTTCTGACTACTTACCCTTGCAAGGCAAATATCAAGGAGGAAGATTCAAGGAATAACACATTTCACCATTTCTTCTATTGTTATTATTAAGCCTCATTAAACAATTCATAATTTGTGTTACAGAATATTGGAAAAAAAATTATGTCCATCACCTTAACATTTCTAGGACTCACATTTTTCATATATAAACTGTGGAAATTAGACTAGATCACCTCTCAAAGCCTGTCTGGATCTTAGAACATAAAGCTTTAATATGTTCTTTTTTGTATTTTTGGCCTCTGTAATGACTTTTTATGTTGCAAACAGCAAAAACAACATGGATATTTTGGGATGTTTTTCTGTTTCTTTCTTTCCAAAACCATGTAAATATGTGAGTCTCAGATATCATCGCTCAAAATCACTTATCATTTTCCTCATGGACCCTATATTTTGAGATATTTTTGTCAAACAAATTAAATTGTAAAATGTAATAATGCATCCATTTTTTCATGCTATATAGAACTCCTGAGCATCAGGTAAAAGTCCTGTTACTTCACCAAATAAATGTAATTCCACCCCAAACAATGACATTTAAGGTTTTTGTTGTTGTTGTCTTTGTCTTTAGCTTCAGTCTTACCTTGGAAAAAAATAGAATTTGATTAATATTTTTGAAATATTGGAAATAGTTTATTTGTTTGCTGACTGTTATAACAAAGCATCACA